ATCAACGTCAAAGTAATCCTTTAATATCGTCACAACTCATCAACAGGCAAAAAAACATCCCCTCAATAAATATATCGATACCCCCGTTCACTCCCGTGGATCAACCATCCCCTACCACGCGACAAAATCAGGCGGATGAATTCATTCAACAGGCCATACAATTTCATGAGGCGAATGAATTGGAGAAGGCCACTTATTACTTTAAATTGGCCGCAGACAAGGATAGTCCCCTCGGTCTATTCCTATATGGTATTGCTTTAAGGCATGGCTGGGGTTGTAAGCCAAATCCTAAATTGGCCGTACGTTTCCTGCAAAAAGCTGCAGAATCCGCCGTTCATGACTTGCATACCACTATGGCCGCAAACCCTTCTATCGCTCGTCACGAGTTAGTTTTGGCTATTTATGAATTAGGTATGCGTCTAATCTCTCTTTTTTTTTCAAAAAAAAAACAAATATCTCTTTGTAAACCCGATTCTAACCTGAACTTTATTTTTTTTTTTCTAGGCGTTTGTTTTCGACATGGCTGGGGTGTACCAAAGAATAAGCAAACCGCTGCCTATTATTTCGAAATTGCTGCCAGTTTTGGTGATCCGGATGCTCAAAATGACATCGGTTTCTGTTATGCAAATGGTGAAGGTGTTAAGAAAGATATGAAAAAAGCCGCAAAGTTTTACCGGTCGGCTGCCGCTCAAGGTGCTAGCATATTAGGGAATTCATGGATCTATAAAAAGAAATATGACGATTAATCTATTGTATATTTATTTTTGGGGGGGTGGGCTCGAATTTTATCTTAATCATGTAAATTATTTTTTTTCTACAACATACATAATACACAACACAACAACACTCAATAATACTTATATATCATTGTTAATTATGGTCTTTTGCTATAAAATCATTATGAGCCATAATCAATCATATGCGGTTTTAATGGCAAAACACTCATAAATATGCAACATATATTTTAAGATTTAACTCTAGAATATCATATGCACTGTTTGAATGAGGATTAATTCCGAGTTTTGCAGTAACAACATCAAAAAAAAATTTTTTTTTTTTTAAGTATTCCGACTATTTATACATTGTATATGTACTTATTATCTTATTTATTTTAATTTCTTTCTTGTAAATAGTATTTTTTTTTTTTATTTTATTCATTATTAATGAAAAAAAAAAAAATACAAAAAAAAAAAAAAAAAAAACATAATAATAATAATATATTTAGAATTTAATGTAATAATTAACATGAACTTGAACAAATGATAATTATCAAATGTATAATACAACCGTAAATGCTAAATACGAATTGATTAATTCAGATAATATTCAGGAAGAATAAAAAAACAAAAGATTCGTGTTCCAAAAATTATTTCCCTTCATACTTTCAATCAAAATAACATATTCCCAACGAACAACATTAATAATAAATTAATTGGTTTAATGCTGAGACCATTGAATCGATTTGAGATCAATGCCTTCTTGAACCTATAAAAAAAATAAAACGTTAGATCTAACTTATTTTTATTTTTACTTTTAAAAAGAAATTTAAATCTGTCACATACCATCTCCCAAAGAGGAGACATTTCCCGTAGTTTATCAACATGTCTTACTACTCTGTCTACTACGAGATCAATTTCTTGCTCTGTGGTAAATCTACCTATACCGAACCTAATACTTGAATGTGCCATATCATCATCTGCTCCTAGGGCACGTAATACATAAGAAGGTTCCAATGAAGCTGAAGTACATGCTGAACCAGACGAAAGCGCTATATCTTTAAGTGCCATTAAAAGAGACTCTCCTTCAATATATGCAAATGAAAGGTTGACACATCCTGAAAAAAGAATTTGTAAATTTTCTTAGCGTCTTTAACTTCAAATGTTATAAAATGTGATAAATTTCATGTAATACTTTTAATTTTCCTTTGTACCTGGATAGGATGAGGTAGGGTCACCGTTACGTACTACATTTTGTACTTGCGACGTAATACCGTCAATTAGTCTCTTTGAAAGTAACTTGATACGGTCTGAATCATACTTTGCAGTTGTGAAATAAACAAAGGGTTATGTTAGATAGACAATATTAAGTAACAGATGTTGGGGTGTTTTTTTTTTTTTTTCTTTTTATCAGAACCCCTGCATAAAAATTCGTCATAAAAACAACATGTACGATGCATTAAGAATGGTACAAATTGTTTCTCTATCGAATTGAGCGGTTTCTCATCATTCAGAAAACTTATATGCAAACAATTAAATAACACATACTTGCATTTCTTCCTTGGCAATACGACAGGCTTCACCCAAACCTGCCACCAACGGTGTAGGTACCGTTCCACTTCTCAATCCCCTCTCTTGCCCACCACCGCTTTGTAAAGCTTCAAGCCTCACTCTAGGTTTTCTTCTACTGTACAAGGCGCCAACCCCCTTTGGTCCATAAATCTTATGTCCAGAGATACTCATCAAATCAATATTCATTTTATTGACGTCCAAAGGAATCTTTCCGACAGCTTGGGCAGCATCCGTATGGAAAAATACTTTCTTGGAGCGACAAATCTTACCAATTTCTTCCATTGGCTGTGTCACTCCGATCTCGTTGTTTACCGTCATAATGGATACGAGTGATGTATCTGGTCGAATAGATTCGGCCAATTGATTCAAATCTATAAGGCCGGATGGTTGAACTGGTAAGTATGTGACATCAAATCCTTCTTCGGACAAGACACGACACGAATCAAGCACACATTTGTGTTCCTATATAATAAAAAATTATACCATTAAACGTACTTGAAGAAACGTTGTGACAAAAAAAAAAAAAAAAAAAGGAAAGAAAAAAGATGATGTTTACAATATTAGTCGTGATAATATGTTTTTTGCTTGATTTATAAAACCTTGCAACTCCCTTGATACTCAAATTATTTGATTCGGTGGCACCGGATGTAAAAACAATATCTTTTACATCCGCTCCTATTATATCAGCCACATGCTACAATAATAGAAGGGATCTTTGTTATTAAGGTAAGACGGAAGATTGTGAATTAAAAGGAAGAGCGATCTACGTACCTCACGAGCCGTCTCAACAGCCTTTTCGGACTCCCAACCGTACGCATGTGTCCTTGAATGTGGATTTCCGTATTGTTGTGTGAAATATGGCATCATTGCATCAAGGACACGTGGATCTGTAGGAGTTGTGGCCTGCATATCTAAATAAATAGGACGATGTCCTTTCTTGACTTTTGACTCGCTGAAACCCAAAGAATCTATACAAATAAAGATAATAAAAACGTTAGAAATTGACAAAAAGTTGATCAAAAGTATGTATAATATGTGACTCAAGCCAAACCAGGTGAGGGAGCTATAAGGGTTTGAACTATTGGCATTGTCTCTACGGCGGAAGCTTTGTCAGGAGAGGTCGGAAAAGTAAGATCCCTTTTATTTAACAGCCCAACAGAAAGGTTAGGATTTGCTAGTCGGTGGAGTGAAATCACATTACGAGCGGTTCCACGGCACAATATTTTTGAGGTGGTCGTACGTAACATCGTTTTAAAAAATATAACCAAAGAAAAGCGTAAATTATGCGAAAGTGTATCAGTAAAATCAAGTGCTTAAAGAATCGAGAGTTGCTAGCTGCTCGGTTAACATCTATGAATGTTTAAAGTTGTTGAAATAGATCTTGCATTATCATCTCGTGATATTTTTGCCCGTAATGTTGGCCAAATAATTACGTATGAAATTGATCTGTAATTGTGATATCATTTTCTAAAAAGTGCTAATTCTAAAAAAGTGCTAATTAAAAATAATATAAAATATATAAAATATACGCCAGTGACCTAAAAGGAAAAAAAAAAAATAAATTATGAAAAGAATGAATTACGGAACTTCATTACCTTCACCTATGGCAGAGAATTCTTCAAGTTCGAGACCAGTCGACAGAGGTTATTTACCGTCACGTATCAATTTCAAGGAAGAAATTTGTAAATTTCGAGATTGGCTAGGGGATGCATTTGAATCTCGTCGAGCTCATTGGGTCATTCTCGGATTGGTAGTGGCGGATTTCATTGCTGTCATGTCAGTGATAATCGTCTCATTTTTATGGCCGGAATTCGAAGAAAAAGAACATGTATTATTTGAAACGCTTGAAATTATTGCATTCACCATAAATTCAATTTTTGTTTTTGAAGTGATGATAAAATTGTTCATATTTGGAAATTACTACTTTATAAAGTCACATCATTGGAAATTGCATCTCTTTGATGCGGTTATCATTTACACAACTTTCTTCTTGGAAATCTTTCTTTCAGGAAAGCAAAGAGAAGTTGCGGGACTATTAATCTTGTTTCGTCTATGGAGGCTTATTAAAGCTCTTAGTATCTTTGCTGTTGGGTTAATTGAATACGATGAAGATAAAGTTGATCAATTGAAACTTCAAAACAAACGATTAAGAGAGGAGTTGGGAAGTTTATTAACAGAAATTGATTTGATCGCAAGGGAAGAACATTGGAATGAACAAAAATTGGCTCGCGTATTTAATTCCCATCAAAAAGATTTATTGAATGAAGAAAATGAAGATAAAGTTAGTATTAACGTTAGGCAGTGAAGTGCGGCAATTAATTTACTGAGCCGATAGCTGCGGCCGTGAAACGTGGTGAAATCGATAATCGATAACCACCGGAACAATTTTTTATTTCCTTTATTGTTTATATATATATTTTTTTTATTTCCTTTATTATTTATTTATTCATTCATATCAATATGTGAATCGAGTTAATCAAACGACAACGTGTGAATGGCTATCTATATTATCTTTTTATGGGGGTAAAATCAATAAATTAACCTTTTCACATAAATTACCATATTATAAAATCGCAACATGCTTTTTTGATTCCATTGATATTACATTTTGATTGGTTGGGATTACCCAAACCCAACCAATCGCTTGTAAGGATAAAAGGATGATGTTTTCTTTCTGCTTATCTTTTTCTCACGAGATTCCACCTTTACAAAATGTTTACAGCATCAAACAAAAAAACCGTCGTTCAATATGAAAACGACTATAAAAAAGCATTCCTTATCTTTTTCAAATTTCTAACTAGCGAAAATGGAATCGATGAGAATAAGCGAAAGTTTGTACTCGATTGTATTGAGAAATTTGTGGATACTGAAGGATATGATTCAACGGAAGGTTTCTTCCTTGATATATTTGAAGAAGTTGGATTCGAAGCGGTTCAAAATGATAAATTCGGCGCGAAGAGGGATAATAATATCATTGAAAAAAAAAAAGGTGGTACGTCCAACCTTGTAACCGATGACAGCACCGTTTTAGAATTCCCAATGAAGATCGATCTCCAACAAATGCACTTGCTTCAATTCTTTCAACGCGCCTTGGCTCTCAACATCGCCACCGGAAGTTCAAACAAACGTATCTTTGGATTCCAAATTCCATTCGTGAACGACCATGCATTTTTTGTTAAAACTTTATACTTGGGTACTATAATGGTGCGGTATAAACGAGATGGGGAAAGCTGTGTACCCGAGATTGTTCAATTGGATCAAATCCCAGATGGATGGAAAGTTGACGTTTATAGGAAACCTCTTGATGGTACCACCATCTTCGACTTTTACCAACAGGGTCTGAGAAAGAGAAAATATTTCATGGAGAAAAAGACCAAGAAGAGAATGATTCCAATTTTATTTGGTTCAAAGAAACGTGTTAATTAACTTGTTCAACCAAAGGTTGCTTTACGGAGGGTGAAATCATTTTTTTTTTTAACACGAGCATTATTATTATTTGTAATGCGTTACATTTAAAAGCTAATAAAACATACGAAATTAGTTCAGATTTTCAAGGAATACACATCTTGTCCGTATCAAATGATTTATTGTATCAAAGCAATGGACAAGTTAAAGAGAGCGGTTTAGGTTGTGAAATATTTTTTTTTCAGGGTTCTTTTCGCGGTGAACTCTAGCATGCCAAGTTGTACTACCCATTAAAAGTATGCATGCCCGAGCAGTTAACCATTAAGAATTCTTCCACAATGAGCTAAACGAATTTAAAAAGGTGGAAGACTTTCAAAGAAACCAAACGTGTTAGTTGTTTACCCAGCTTACGATAGACGGGACCTATGTTTCTACAAAACTCATGAATTAGGAGACGTCGCACAAACAATTTCCCATTAAAGCAGTCACTAGTCTCGAAAAGTTCGAGGTTCCGATTATCAGCATCAAATATGGTAGACAGGCTTCCAGCATGATATTTTTTGACGTTCAGCAGGCATAAAAAATAATTGTTGTTTGAGGGAATTACTTTATATAGTACGAAATTGCCGATGTATTTTTTCTTCAATTTCGGATTCACTCAGCTCCATTTTTGGTCGGTTTTTTTTTGAATAAGTCCACTGAAAGGTGAACTTAATTCATCGGGCCATCCAAACCCCGTTCTCGTATCTCATGACATTTTACTCAAAAAATAGTTGATTATCAGTGATGTTTAGATAACCCGTCAAATTCCTAACCAGTCAGAGCTAATGATTTAATTGACCGGGGTTTACAATAGGTGCTTTTTTTGGTTGAATAAATTAGGGAAATCCGAAAAAATGACACAAAAAAACAAGCTTTGGTTACGTAATGGGTGACACCTCGAGCATCATTTGACGATTATTAAAAATTACCACCAAATATTTTTAATTTAACTGGGATTATCATGACCATATATTGCATTTTTTTTTTCCATTCTACTATGTTATACTATCACGTTTTTAATTTACCAATTGTTATATTAAATTGAATGGTTCCTTTTGCGCGTTTTTCGTTGTGAATAATTAGGTAAAAAACAGTTACCATAAAACGACAATTATCGGTGTAACTTTCAGTTAGCGTGGTTAGCTGTGCTTCAAGGACAAGTATTGGAACATTTACTCGGGGTGTCACACTACATGAACGCTTGAACCCTCTACCAAATTCAGGAACTTTTCCTTCCATTTGAAACCTTCCAGTTGCGAGATGCGACCTCAAAAAAAACGATTGGAAACGGAATTACAATAGGAATCCCACATAAACTCATAAAACTTAAAACTTGCAATGAAATCATTATTTATCGTAGTACCAATCTACCGGTTTTGCATTATTACAATTCACTATATATAAAGTAACACATTGAACAAATACCCTTATCTTTTTTTTTTTATACTATTATTATAATTTTCTTTATAATTCACTTTCCTTCCATTCAATCAAATTCATAATCTTTTTTTTCTTTCTTTTCCTTTTCATGAATTTTTTTTTCTCTCCTTCTCGACAAATTAATTTTATTTTCTTTGTCAAAATCAAACAAATGAAAATAAAGGATGAGAAACTGACGAACGAATTATTAAATATCAAAACAAAAAATCGAATAATAAATAAATGTTCTAAAAATAATATTTCTTGTAAATTTATATTATATATTATTTATAGTATTGTCCTCCTATCATAAGAAATAATAATATCTTTTTTTCAATCAAAAAGACATAAATTATATTTAGAAATTCATTTTAGCCAAAGAAAATAATAAAAAATAATAAAAAATCAATAATAAAAAAATTTTTATTTTCATTTCTCGAAATCGTAAAGTAGAAAAAAAGAATATCATAAAAAATGGGAAGCTGTGTGTCGCAACAAGCTGATAACTCCTATGTTGTCTCAAATAGGAATATAAATAAATTAATTAAGGAAGACGAGAAAAAATTAAAAACCGAAGTCAAGTTACTTTTATTGGGTAACCTTTTTTTTTTTATTTTTATTTATTTCCTTTTGTTGATTTATTTTTTTTTTTTTTTAAAAAAAAAAAAAATTTGATTTATCTTCTTTTTTTTTTTCTCTCTCAGGTGCTGGAGAATCCGGTAAGAGTACAATCTTGAAACAGATGCGATTGATTCATGCTGCGGGATTCACAAACACGGAGAGAGAGACATACCGGTCAATCGTATTCACAAATATCACGGAATCAATGAGCTTAATACTTGAGTCGATGGAATATTTTAAGATACCCTTTAGCGATAGCGAAAATTCGGTAAATAACATTCATTAAATATTAATTGATTAAATCTCCTTTACTAAAACAACGTTGTTGCACGTAGCAATATTTATCGTTATTTCATAACCCATCACCGAGTATCGTTAAAGGTCGTCCATTTCCGATTCAATATTTGAATCCATTGGCAACATTATGGGCGGATTCTGGTGTGCAAAGCTGTTATGAGAAAGGTCATCAATACGCATTACAAGATAACATGAGTTAGTGAGTACCTCGGTTTTTTTTTAAGACTCTCGTGAATTGTAATCTTTTATAAGCAATCATTAAGACATTTTTTTTTTTTTTAAATTTTAATTTAGTTTTTTTGAATCATTAGAAAGATTGTTTTCAAAAACATATATCCCTACAGACCAAGATATTCTACGTTGTAGAATGAAAACAACGGGAATTGTTGAAACTGTGTTCCAATTAAGTCCACTAACATACAGGTAACAAATATTTACTACGTTCGTGATTAACTAATGGATCCCAGAATTTGACATATACCCTCCGATGTTATAGAATGTTTGACGTAGGCGGCCAACGGTCCGAACGAAAGAAATGGATTCATTGCTTTGAAAATGTTACGGCTGTATTATTCATCGTAGCCATAAGTGGTTATGATCAATGTTTGGTGGAAGATAAGGATGCGAATCAAATGCAGGAAGCCTTAATGTTATTTGATTCGATTTGTAATTCGCAATGGTTTGTGAATACATCAATGATTTTATTTCTAAATAAAATTGATATATTTCGGGAGAAAATCAAGAATTCTTCCGTTAAAAAATACTTTCCCGATTATACAGGTAAAAAAAAACTAGAAACTTGGATCATTTCTGTGAAAAATATGTAAATGTTGAACCCATGTTAAACTCATGCTTGAACCGAAAATAGGTCCGGATGAAGATTTTAAACAAGTGACTCATTATTTTAAACGAAAGTTTCAACGTTTGAATCGTAGTGTTATAAAAGAAATTTATCCTCATTTCACAAATGCGACAGACACAAATCTGTTACGCCACATAATGCGCAGTGTCACAGGTATTTTACCTTTCTTAAACGTTAAATAGTCATTTATTTTTCACATTACTAACATAAAGATTGTATCTTTAGATATTATATTGACTCAAAATTTAAGAGATTTGGTTTTATAATTTTAATGGAAGAAATTTTTTTATTTTTAAATGTAAAAAATTATTAAAAATATTTTAATGTAATTAATATATATATATAAATTCTTCATCTTTTTGTTTCCCTTTTCTTTTCTTTATTTCTTTTCATTTTCTTCATTTTTTTTTTTTTTTAGTCAGAAAATTAAAAAGAGAACTATGAAAACTAATATAGAAGTGAATCCGTTAAAAACTTATTAGAAATGAATCGTTGGATTTGACAAATTAGCCGATAGATTTACGTAAAGAAAAAATTTTCGTTACTATCTTATTGAATTTGAATGGTTAATTATTATATAATTTAAAAAAAAAAAATGAAAAAACGTACTAATAGTACTAATTAATGTAACGTTACCTTTTTAAAAATATGTTACCTTATTTAAGGAAATTTTCCTATTTTAAAGAGTAAAAAAAAAAAATTTTGACTATCTCAATTTATTATCAGAATGTAATGGTTTTTTTTGATAAAAAAAGTTAGCGGATCAACAATGATTTTGGATTATTAATGATTTTGTTTCGTGTTTGCGTTTCAAAACTTTTGTAATTAATAATCAATAATCCTTTGCGTTTAGACATGATCGAAAATTTATCCTTATTATTTTTGGATCAGGTTATCGCAATTATTGTGGGTGTTTCATTGATATTTATCATCAAATTTTTGTTATTCAGAAATGAAGTCGTGAAATTCGTTGTCGAAGTCCCTATCGGTAATTTTCTAGATGAAAATTTTTTTTTTTTATTTTCGAATTGATCAAGCAAATTATTTAATCTTTATATAAATTTTTCGATACTTCATTTTGCTATATAGAGGCCAAACCGGGTTGGAATGGGGGCAAAATTTTGGATAAACCCTGTTTAAAAGTAAAGTCACATTTTTTTTTTAATAATCGTAGATATACAGTTATTTACATTTTATAAATACCCGTTTTTTTTTTTTTTTTTTTTTCAAGGATGCATCGAATCCCGGTTACATCACGTGCTATGACCCAGCAACAGGACAATTGTTGGATACGATTCGAGCACACACCAAAGATGATGTTAAAGAGGCATTAAAGAAGGCTCGTGATGCACAACAAAATTGGGTCAAGACCACATTTTCTGAAAGGAAAAGGGTACTTTATAGTCTATTGAATTTCATTATCAAAAATCAAGAGGAAATTTGTTGGGTCTCAAGTAGAGATACCGGGAAAACGCGTACGTCTCAACTTTTTTTTTTAAAAAAAAAAAAAACAACACAGTTTATTATATATAACATGACCTCTTTTTTTTGAAATTTTTTAGTCGTTGACGGGAAATTTGGAGAAATCTTAGTAACATGTGAAAAGATACGATGGATCATCAAACATGGAGAAAAGGCATTAGCCACCGAATATCGGGGAACGAGTCCCGTTTTACCACATAAATTAGCCAAAATTGAATATCAACCTCTTGGTGTTGTGACGGCTTTGGTATCTTGGAATTATCCGTAAGCATGATTTTATTCATGTTTTGATAAAAAAAAAAAAAAAAGGGTAGTTGTTTACTTACAAGGTCGTAACCGGGTGATTCTAGGTTTCATAACGTGTTTGGTCCCATCATTTCATCGTTGTTTGTTGGAAATGGAATCCTGATCAAATCTTCGGAGCAAGTGGCTTGGTCAATGCAATTTTATAGTAAAATCATTAAGACTTGTTTGATGGAATGTGGTCACGATCCTGACATTGTGCAATTCTTGTGTGGTTTTCCGGAATGCGGTGAAGCCGTCGTGAGAAGTGGAGTTGATGGAATAACTTTTGTCGGGTAAAGTTAATAATATCACCTCATTTTTCAAATTTTTTTTTTTTTTAAAAAAAAAAAAAAAGAAAATTTAACTAAGTTATTATTTTACAGTTCATGCGAAGTTGGCAAACAAGTAATGAAGGCGGCATCGGATAATTTGACACCTTGTATTTTAGAATTGGGTGGCAAGGATTGCGCTATTATAAGGCATGATGCAAACCTATCTCAAGCACTTCCAATCACTATGCGTGGTACCTTCCAAAACGCTGGTCAAAACTGTGTAGGATTGGAACGTATCCTAATTCATGAATCATTATACGATGGATTTGTGGTTATGGTTGCGGAACAAATTAAAAGGTTAAAAGTTGGAAGTATTTTGAATGATGATGATGTTGTAGATATTGGTGCAATGACTATGAGTGGTCAGGTATGAAATGTTTGTTTAAAAATGGTATCGTCCTGATAAATTAAGTTCAATCAAAGTATTCACTCGTTTAAATCGTAGGGAGAACGACTTCAAAATTTAATTCAAGCTTCGGTGTCGGAAGGGGCAAAATTGGTTTTAGGTGGTCGTCCATTTACTCATCCAAAATATCCAACTGCACAATACTTTGAACCAACTCTTTTAATTGATGTAACGCCAAATATGACAATTTTAAAGCAAGAATTATTTGCACCCATAATGATTGTCATGAAATTTTCAACAGATGAAGAGGCAATTGAAATATGTAATAGTTCACCTTTTGGGTTGGGTAATTCTGTTTTCTCTGGCGATCAAAATAAAGGTGAATGGATGGCTAGAAGATTAAGATGTGGCATGGTTAATGTAAATGATTTCGGTGCCACTTATCTTTGTAATTTACCGTTTGGTGGAGTTGGCATCTCCGGGTTTGGGAGGTGAGATTTATTTGTTGAGCAATATAAAACAATATAAACGATTCATTAATTCATGTATTAATTTTTATTTATTTTTATTAATTTTTTTTTTTTTATAAAAAAAAAAAAAGATTCGGAGGCGTAGAAGGACTCCGCTCATTATGTCTAATGAGATCGATTACAACCGATAGGATTCGGTTCTTTAAAACATCTATACCACGTGTAGTAGATTATCCAATGCTTCCCAATGGTTCGTCATTTATTTCTAACCTAATTAAATTGTTTTACGATAATTCTTTAATCGACAAATTGAAAGCCCTTATGAATTTAATAAAAGATTCTTTGAATTTACCAAATTGATTTGAAATGAATCAATTTAAAAATTATAATGTAATCGTATAAATTTTGAAAATTTATATAAAAGAAAATTGAATTCTTTACAATGAATCAATCACGTGACACTTTTTTTCTTTTTTTTGGTTTGTTTTGTTTGCTTTGTGAACTCTAAATTACTGAGCATAAATTCCAATCCAATTGGATTCAGATTCCATTCGATCAATTATTGCCTCCTTACTGGAAATAAAGATTTCATTCATACGTTGAACAGGGATCGGTTCTAGGGAATCTACCAACGGCGTTGAGCTTGAAGGTAGAACCGGCGTTACTGGTGTGGTGGCGACGGGTGTTGATGGTGCATAGGCACCATAACCTGTTGTTGAGGCAATACCTCCGAGGGGATTATATGGGCTTGCTTGCTGAGGACCGCTACGCGACAAATAACACAACACGTCAGTTCCTCGTGGTAAAATACTATAAAGTTTTACACGACGTAGAAAAATACTTACCGATAAGGACCAACAGTAGTTTTATCGGTCTGAGATCTGCCCCAGGACAAACGTACTCTAGAGTTTCCTATTAATTGAAGAAGTATCATTATTTTTTAAACTGAGTTTCGCTTATAAAATTCTAAATAAATTAAAAATACCAATTGGGTAATGTTGCATTTGGTTAATTGCCATTTCGGCACTCTGTCTATGAACAAATTGCACAAAACCACAACCTTTACCAGGTGGTATTTTTACATAAGTAATTTCTCCAAAACCTTGAAAGTAGCTATAGGTGGTTACATAAACGATTCAAAGATTAATATTTATCAAAGTAAGGTAATTTAAAAAGGGAAAATGATTTCAAAGATCCATATGTACCTTCTCAATTCTTCTTCGCTATTCACGCCGGATAGTCCGCCGACAAAAACGGTAGTATTATTCGGATCGTTATATTGGTTTAAGACGGGGTTTTGTTGGGATGGCTGCTGATAGTAATTTCCTTGAAGGCCAATTTTGTTTTTCGGTGTCGCTGTGGAAATTCGCATTTGTCGATTACCACAGAACGCACCTTGCATCTCTACAAGAGCACGCTGTTGTTCAGATTCTTCACCAAACCTAACAAACCCGTATCCTATCCAAAATAATAAATATAAAAAAATAAATAAATCAATAAACATAAGTGACACCTTAATTATATGTTAAATAATTCGATCTTTAACTTACCGCGAGACATGCCAGTCATAGGATCAGTCATAATCTTCGCAGATTTACAAGTGGTATACCGTTGTTGAAAAACGGACTACAATAAGTAAAGTAATTAGATACAAATGAACCAAATTATAATTATGGTGAAAAGTTATTTAACATACCACCAACATCCATTCATTTACTTCTGGTCCCAAATCACCAACAAAAATCGAAAATTCCGGACCACGATCATCCCTACTCCATAATTAGGAAAAAAAATAAAGGTGACAAATCAACACATACGATCGAAATAAAATCGAAATCTTTACAATAAAATGTTAAGATGCATTACTTTCTATCAGTTAATCCGCCTCCAGATGCCCAATTCAATTTAAATAATCGATTGGTACCGGGAATTGGTGTCCCATTTACTGTATTTAAGGCTTTGACCGCGGCAGCATTACTTACGAAATCCACAAAGCAGTAACCAGCATTCGCTCTGTTATAAAATATATAAATTTTTATGATTATTAAGAAACATGTAAAAGTAATCAAATCTCTTAAGATCGTTCTTACCCTGTGAACTTATCTCTAATGAATTTTACGTTCACGTTTTCGCCAAGCTGGTACCAGATCTGTCTTATGTAACTTTCGTCCATCCACGGCTCAAGCTCGCCCATCCTATTGATAAAGGCTTGTAAGGTTACGTTACTTTTTAAAGTGAAAAACACCCAATTAAAGTTACCATAGTGTTGTTTTATTTTCTGCACTGCCTCCGTAAGGTGGCTGTTGTTGATATTGTTCATATTGATATGCCATGTTCGTAAGAAATAAAGTAATGAGGATTGCGAAAAAAAAAAAAATAATAAATGTAGAACACGATTAAGTTTGATTGAAAAGTGAACGACACGTTACAACCTCGTTGACCAAAAATTAAATAATTTTTAACAAATTGAAAAAAAATCCGCACATTTTAAAAAAAAAAAAACTGATTATGTAATGATAATCATCAAATAGCATTTAGTCACATGATTAACATGTATAAAACTTGTTAGAATCTTTAAATAATCTCCCACTTCCATATTTTTTTTAAGCCCTAAACCCTTACCAAATAAAAAAAAAAAAATCAAACAAATAAACAACTTTTATCTAACGGATGATGATTTATTTATCAAACAGATATTTAGAAGTCTTCCTCAGTTAGTTATTATTTCCTTGGCAAAATTTTTTATTTTCTGGAAAATATGATTTTTGTTTTGTTTATCTTCTATTCTAAAGAATCCAGGTTTTTATTTGACTGATGAATTTGGTTCCAGATTCACTGGCTAAAGGTTAGCGTTGTTTCTATGATATAAATAATTATTATGCTGCGTTATGATGTATACTTTACCATGCTAATTCTGATATTATGAAAGAAAAATATTTTATTTATTACTGAACGCAAATAATATTCATTTCACTTGTTTTAAAGATACACTTTTATTAACATGTTTATCTATAGGATTTCGATCGAGATCCAAAAGGGGCTTATTTTTTTTCGTCAGGATCAAGTGAAATTGGCAATAATAACTGATAATGTAATTATGTTTAGATTTTTATATCATCTATCAATAAGTTTAAGTTTAATAAAAGATTATTCACATGCTTTATATCCAAGATTATTTTTTTACGCACTAAAAATCGAATTCGTAATTTAAAATATCGTAAGAATATAAATATTTTGTAATTCTTGTTTATTTAAAATCTTATAGCACTATCCACTTCCTTTGAACCGTAATTTTCCTCCAGATTAATAGAGTGAGTATAATGCCGTAACTAAATAATTCCCCCAGTTGGAATTTACCCGTTATCAACACACTCGATGCTTTACTTAGTTTGGTTTTTGGAAGTAACTTCGTACCTGATTGATGACCAATGCCTAGACAAAGTAATGGATTTCCAATTTCATGAAAAATTATTAAATAATGTAAAATAATGATTTATTTAATTAATTTTAAATGATTATTTATGATTTTATGCAGGTATTAATTATAATAAAATACATATTATACGTTATTATCAAATAAATGAAATATTAATATGAAAATCAACCTTTTTATAAAGTTATCATTAAGCTAAAATCCAATTAATTTACTTATTAAACTTTTCATCATAATTCTACCTCAAATAATCATAATCATATGAAATACTACTTTTAAATATAATTCTTAAAACCTCTTTAGCAGTGATATGCATTTGAAAGCATTCTGGGAAGTACTCTTTGAAAGGGTTGGAAGTATAAATCTCTAATAAATTAATTTGGATTGAAAGCTTCCAATCAAATTTTGTATATAAAATACACATCACTGCTCTTTAGCATTAACTAATGCATTTGTTTTTACAAAATAATAAAATAGTTTAAATATTACCAATTATATAATAATTATATAATAATATAGAATTACTATTCAAAATTTTTATGATTTAACTTATATATAATATATTTTATTTAACCAATTTTTTTTAATATTTACCATTATGTTTTCTAACATAATCTTCTTATTGTAAAATAATTCATAATAATAAAATTAATAATTTTTTTGATATTTCATATTATAACTATTTTTTCATATTTTTATATATGAGTATTATATAAAAATTTGAGTTAATGTTAAATTTAACAAAAAAATCATATAAAGTAAAATATTTTTTTTTGCAATTTCTATTCTTTTTGTTATAAATACTAATATATTTTAACTTTAGTATTTTAATTATCTTTTAAAATCTTTAGTATAAAAAAAATACTTTAAAATAGTAAATCTAATTTATAGTCTAATTATAATATATAAAGTCTTTTTATATATTAAAATATTTTCATCATTAAAATAATATAAATTAGCTTATTTTTTAAAATAATAATTTTTTAAATTTAGACTCTAATATAAATTAATGATTTTACAAATTGATTTTATTTACCTATATTATAGATGAGAGATGAAACCCTTTAATAACAGTCAAAACTTAGACGAAATTATATTAAAATCATAATAAGAGATATGATGAAACCCATTTGATATGACGAAAGCTAAAACTGTCAAAACTATATTAAAAACATAGAAAAGAGTATAATGAAATTATTTTGAGAAGGTTTTAGCAGGTATCTATAACCTATATTAAAAAAACTTTTCCCTTCTCTCTTCAAAATCACAAAAAATAGGAAAAGAAAAAAATTAAAATTTTTTACAAAAAAATAACCACAACTTACGAAGCCATTCTAGCACACCAATAAAAAATAAAGAAGAACTCCCAAAAGAAAACTATGACTGGTAGGTTTGCCCAAATAATAGAAACTTCAGCTGGACTATCGAAAGTTATAATTACCACTGATATTTTATCAGCTAGTGATATAAACGTAGACTAACAAGTAAAAGCAGTTTTTGCTGAAGTCAAAAACTTAGAATACGCTAAAAACACCTAGTTTTTTTAAAGAAAACAATACACAAAAAACCTCTACTACCAGATTTTCACATAT